CAGCCTAGCACAGGTTGGTTTGTTTTGAGAGCTGGCAAGAAGTTCAACTCAGTCCTTTTAATGCTGATAAGTTTTTCTCAAGTAGCTAGGAAGTGCTGCAGCATCTTTCCGTTCTTCTTCCATGGGTAATCGCCATTCCTGTTTTGTGATTCTTCTTTTCCAGTATGTGCGGTATATGGAGAAAAAGTTCTTCTGGTGTGCCTACTGGGTAGGCTTGGGCATTCTGTCCTCTGTTGGACTCGGAACAGGTCTTCATACCTTTCTGCTCTATTTGGTAAGAACCTTCCTGCTGTATTTTCTTTATATGAACAGTAGCATAATTATAAAGTATTTTAAAAAACTTATGGCAGTTTTCATCCATATCAGTGCTAGGACCCAATGTTGTATGCTTCTGCAGTTACGGAAAACATTCATTTTACAGGCTTTTGCATCTTTGCTTTTATGAGCATGCCAATTGTTTTTTTACTGTATGTTTGATGACCTTGTTCTATAATCAAATATTTTGTTTTGTGGGGTTTTTGTTTGTTTCTTGTGTTTTCCCTTCTGGGTTAGTTCCCCAATTATGTAACCACTGCCATGGATTTTTGTTTGTTTGTTTGTTTGTTAAGGCTTTCACTGCCAGAAAAATAATTAAAACCATTTTGTGAAACAATCCCTGATTTGTTTACTTCCAGAGCTGCTTTAATCATTGTCAGTAGCACAAAAAGTACATCAGGAAACAAGGAGCTCATGTTTGCTCCATGCAACAGGGCAGCGCTGCTTACGGTGAATGAGAGCCATGTGGGATGCTTTCAGAAGTGTGTATCTACTTGAGATGCTTTCCAAAAACTTTCTGGGGGGGCCAAAGAAATATAGTTATATCACCTTCTGTCTGAATTAAGGGGAAGTGATGCTTGTAAAAATGGATTATAGGGAATTTTTTAACACTTGCTGGCTTTGGTATGCTATACTTTTTTACTATCATGCAAGGATGGAAACAAAAAGGAAGGAGTTATGCAGCCAGTGGAAAACAAGCAGCTATCTCCCCTCTCTCCCCTCCTTTCTGCACCTCCCCCAACACCAAGCTCTGTTGTTTGCAACAGTAAAATTTCGTCAAGTGATTTGTGTAGATTGTTGATTGCCACATGGCGTTGACTACTTCTGCCCACTAGATACTAACGTGATCAAATCTTTCCGTTCTGTGTGCGCGTGCATCCGCAAACATTCAGTGTAAGAGCAGTTTCCTCTGGGATGATTATTTACCACTACATAAACATATCTGCTTAAAAAAAGTAATTCCGTTTGCAAATAAACACTGTTTGCATGTTGTGAGGAGAGGCTGAGGGAACTGGGCTTATTTAGTCTGCAAAAGACAAGACTGAGAGGGGATTTGATGGCGGCCTTCAACTCCCCGAAGTGGGGGTTGAAAGAGGATGGAGCCAGACTGTTCTCAGTGGTGGCAGATGGCAGAACAAGGAGCAACGGGCTCAAGTTGCAGCAAGCGAAGTTGAGGTTAGATACTAGGAAGAACTTTCTCACTAGGAAGGTAGTAAAACACTGGAACAGGTTACCCAGCGAGGTGGTGGGATCTCCATCCCTGGGGGGTTTTTAAGGCCTGGCTTGACACAGCCTTTGCTGGGATGATCTAGTTGGGGTCGGTCCGGCTTTGAGCAGGGGGTTGGGGTAGATGTGACCTCCTAAGCTCCCTTCCCACCCTCATTGTCTATAAACATTTCATGGCCCGTTGGCAGCTAGTCAGTAAAGCTGCTTAGAAAATGAATCTATTTCCCCCTTCAGATCAGTCATGGCCAATGGATTGCATATTATTAAAGAGTAGCAGCAAATATTCAAGTGTTTGTTTATTTTCAACAGATGAGATGGATTGGTTTATAATCGGTGATTTAAGTGGCTGAGTTTGATCAATGTGGAAATCAGCAAGCAGGAGACTTTTTGTTTAGATCACTGATTTTAATCTTGTTTTTGCATTTCTGTCCTTTATGTAATCTTTATAATCTAAAGAAAGCTTGATTGTTATTGGTTGGTATAATTTAGGGTTTAGTATAACCAGGAAGTTGCACTATATTGACACAAGTTTATATAAGCAGCTATTCTCTTAACTTTTTAATTATTATTTTGGAAAATGGTGAATGTTCATTAGATTGACTAGACTTTTATTTTATTCATGATTTATGTTGAGCCTTCATTTGGACAGAACTTAAATTTTTACATGCATAAACAACATTTTACATTTTTATTGTAATTAAGAAAAACATCTTGAATGTATTGCATACATATGAAAATAAGTTTTCAATAGTAACACCTGTTTGGATTAGTCTGTATACGCAGAGATATCCATCAGTAGTGAACTGAATTGATTGCTTTTGGTTACCACGACCATCAAGAATTAAGAACCAATAGATGTCATCCTATAAATTGGAGAAGGAATAAAAATCTTTCTCCCTGCTTCACCCTCTGGTCAGTTCCTAAGCCTTAAGTAAAGTGCTGTTCAACTGACGTAGTTGAATATGCTGATTCGAAGACTATTTTCACAGCCCCCGCTGAAGAGACTACTCCTGTCAAAACCTGCTTAAAGACTTCAACAAGCTCAGTTCCAGATGCTCAGTCAGTGACTTTTGCCATTTCAGTGATTTGATGTCTTTTAAAATTGTGACAGCAAATATATATTAGATAATTAGATTTATATGCTGCCCTCCCCAACAAAGGCTCAGGGCAGCTTACACAAGAGATCAAAGTACCTTACAAAACAAGAGAACTGATCAGTTTTATCTGAATGGCTTCAGTAGCTTCTATAGAAAAAATCAACCTACTGCCACCTGCCTGCTGGGTGTGTGTCTTAGACTTGATCTGAGTGGTAGCTGCTTTTTCTTGAAAGCAATCTTTTTCTCCTAATAATGTTGCTCTTTTCTACTTGGTGTATTATTGACTTGCGGCTCCAGTTTCCAAGAGAGGTTGAAATGGCTGGGAGTCCTGCTTTGAGCTGGCAGCTGGGCTAGATGATCTCCTGAGGTCCCTTCCAACTCTCACTTTCTGTGATTCTATGAAATAGCTACATTTTTTGTTGCCCAGCCCTGGGCACAGATGTTATGAAGAGCATTGTTCTAGCCCCTTACTAGCTGCTGCTGTGGAGTCAGTAAAGGCCTTGAACAAGGTCAGTGAGATCTAACCGGTCCTTTGCGGACTTGGCAGATGACACCTGACCTGATCTGTCCCCATTAGTACTGGGGCTGTAGGTGAGCTAAACCAGGCTGTGGCTTTCTCTTCTTCCTCCTCTTCCCTCAAACTTTCAGAGCAACTCAAGGTTTTGCAGCCAGTGTTTGCTGGTGCTGAAGTAGCAGATATCTTTTTGCCTTTAAAAATAATTTTTTTTTTTTTTTTTTTATTGCTGCAGGGCCAGACAATTTCCAGCTGTATGACCTTGTTCATTAACTTCATTATTGCATGCTGTCTTGAGCTGTTGTGTATACCCTGAAGGGGACCCCAGTCTGCCACTCTCTACATATACCCCCTTCTCCAACTTGACTGCTTCTCTCGAGCAGGTCCCATGTCATTTCTCTGTCTGTAACATTGTCCGCATAGCAGGAGTAATACAGATCCAGGATTTTTGTGGGCAAAATAACGTTGTTTTAGATTTTACAGGGCACCTGAGCAACCTTAGAGTGGGCAAACTAGAAATGCATAGAACATGACAAATCTCTGTCCCATTTTAGCAATCTGACTAGATTTTTTTTTTTCTAAAGTAAAAATGTCCTTTTTCCAACTACGACATGATGTCTGCTCTCCCGTTGCTAGTTGTAACTTCTTGTGTATCGTGATAGTACCCAGAGGTCCTACCAGGATCAGGGCTGCACTGGAAGACATGGTCCCTGCCCCAAGGTGCTTACAGACCTAACACCTGGCATTTTGTACAACTAACTGAAGAGGACTGTTGGAAAACGGGATGATGTTGGAGGGCTTGTGTGTTAGCAGGATACTCTCACCCATGTGCAGCAGAGCCTTAATCCTGGCCTAAATAAACTGCGGGTCTTGTGAAGCGTCTTGCAGCAGCCCAGATGTTCGTGTATGTCATTTCATCAAGTCACATCAGCACAGTAGAGAGCTTGCAGGAGAGACGAGCCTTAAGCTTCTTTCTACATGGGGAAGGAAGTTGCCATAAAGCAAGGTTGGGTGTGAATTTATGCTCCTCTGTACTGACTGTGGGGGCTGTTAACACATAGCAAGCCTGAGGCAGCTTACTCAGTCTGCTAAGTTTCTTTTGAATTGGAATGAGCTACCTAACACCTGCTCTGCTCCAAATCTGTCCACATAAGGGCTGGCACAGAGCAGCAAGTGCTCTGTGGATTCACACTCCAGCCTGCTTCATGATATCCTCCCTGTATAAGCAGCACCAGGGGCCTCTTTACCAAATCATAACTAGTCCTTGCCTTCAGTAAGTTTTTAAAAGTCCACAGGTTAAGTATTTTTTTTTTTTATCCCCTTTATAGAAAATGAACCAGAAAAACATTCCTATTACATTTGCCTGTTTTCAAGTAGGATATTTGGCAGGTATGCAGCTCACTTTGCATTTGTCTAGACATTAACCTGACTTGACATTTGGTTAGGTAACAAAGGTAACTTTTCTATTGATTTAGTCCTGTGGTCATTCTTCTCTAGAGTGAATGACCGCACAGTTCTACAGAGCAACTGAAAGTAGTGCGGCAAGGTAGTGATGATTTCTGGTCTGAAACTTCCTGCTGTAGTTAAATGCTCAGAACCAGAGGCATCCACATGCTGCCATGATGTGTGTGAGCAGAAGGACTTGTGTTTGCAGCCAGCTAGCTGGCATTAGCATGAATTTGACATCTCCACCAGAAAATAGCAATGCCTCTACTCCGGCAGGAACTCTTCAGGCAGTTCGTTATTCAGGCACTGGGCCTCCAGACCTTGGAGAATTGTACACACCTATTTTATTGCTCTGTCAGACACTTAAGGATTTCTAAGACCTCTGCCAGGCCTAAACCTGCCCATGGAGTTAATTGGTAAATGGCCTGCCAGTTTTCTAGAGAAGGACAGTTCCAGAATTGCTTGGACTCTCTGTTATCTCTGATTGTATAGAGGCTGTGCACTATATTCCATTTCCACAAATATTCTGAATGTCTGACCTTCTCTCCTCCGGCTGATTAGACTGCCCAGAAGAAAACACTTGCCGAGCTTTATGTAAAAGAACCAACAAAGTAGATGCAACGAGTAATTTAGGGATTATAGTAACGTAATACATTTGCAACACTGGTTGTATGT